ATAGTCAGGGAAATGTAACGATAGAAACTTTTCTAGGCTCCTAAATGGATCTTTGGTCTGAGAGCTTAATGTTTTTGCAGACTTTCAGATCATTGGAATGATTTATTTAAAGAATGTACAGAAGTTAGGCAGATTTCTCATGAATATTAAGTTAAACTCAGAAAAAATCGTAGGGCATCATAATGTCCATAATAATCTTATCTCAAAAGGTCTAAGTGTGAATTCTGAGTATTCTGGGTAAAGCAGCACTTTCTGCTATAGAAATCTAAATATCTGATAGTTTACCAGTTTATAGCTATGAAACTATTCTGCGGGGTAGGGAAGATGATGTGTCGCTCTGAACAAAAACACTTTCTGTGATTTTGGTGAACCTTATCTCACAACTGCAGTTATTGCTTCCGTCTACTTAAATTCAGAGAAATCACTATGAAATTTTGTTCATGATATTGTACCATTATCATTATTGTAAAAGATAGAAACTTCACCTCAAAACACAAAAGTATTTGGTTATTTGGAAGCCTTGGTCTTATTTAAATCTTGTTTTGCATCTATTTCAATCAGTTTATCACTGATTCTTGATTCATTGGCTTCAGTAGCAACTAAACTCACTTGCTTTATTCTGAGATTGAAAACAACTTACTGCTGCTACTCCCAGTTGGTTTCCCCATTTTTAAATGGAAATAGTCAACAAGGAGAGAGAGCTAGAAGTGCTGTCTGTACTGAGGTGGTTTGTTGTGTTTGTAAATAAGATTCTGCCTTCAAGTGAGGTTTATAAATATGACAGCTGTTGGAAATGATTTCCCCTCCTGCACTGTAACTTGCAACACTTAGAGAACACATTTTTATGTGAATGTTTAAAGCGAGGCCTGTGTTTTCTATTCTAAGGTTTCAGTTTAGTTTAAAACATTCTGAATTTCACTTAAAAAATTGTGGCTTTGTTGCCTCTCTGCTGCTTAGACTGTTTTGTGGTGGGGCAATTTTTGTTTTCCTTGTCAGGCTTTCATCCAAATTAAAATTTGATCAGAATAACCACTGACAAAGATTTTTGGAGTTCTGAACAGTTACTCTCTTGAAGTTGTGGATTATACAAAATTGCAACTAAACAATCATCTGAATATACAGTAGCTTCTCAGTTTTCTTTTGTGCATCCTTGTAAAATGAGATTTAAGTGAGTGGTCCGATACAGAACAGGAACTCACTGCAAGTGGTGATAAACCAGATCCTTCCCTATTAAGCATCTGGTTTAATGAAGTCAGAACTTGTTGAATTCCCACAGCTGTTAGTTTGAATATAGCGCTTGGAGAATCAGTGTTAACTATATAGGCTCAAACTGTAAACTCTGATGGCTTAATTTATAAACATTGCCCTCAGCTCCCTCTATATGACAGTTAAGCTTCCAGAGCTCAAATTACAGGTGCTCTGTGACTGTAATACAGCTTCCAAGGTAGAGGCCTGAAACTGTGGAATGAAATTCAATCACCCTCCCTGCTTTTTTCCTTCATCTAAGTATCTTAGAAGTCAGTGTTAATACATGCCAATTCCCTTACCTAACTCTTAGTTCAACGCCCTATACCTTGCCGTCATTGACAGTTTTCATGTCCCAGTAATAGAAATTGTTTGTCCTAGATAAGCACACTATTGATAAGAAAAGTTAAATGCTATCAGGAAGCTCAGCATCTGAGGAGAACTTGCATTCAGTTTTATCCCACTGCTTGTACCTGACTATGATACAATGACTTTTGATAAAATTATAGATGTGTGAAGACCTCTGGAAGTTATATAAACACCTTTTCACTGTCACTGATATGGGATACTTTAAGAGGCTCATATGCAGAGTTAATGTTACCCCTTTCCTAATAGAGAATAGAGGCACAGCTCTGAATTGCAGGCTGGTGACTTTAGGTCAGGAACAAAACATGCATTATAATCAAACCATGCTACGCCCTTTCTTATTAAACTTTGCTTTCAGGGTGGAGAAGGCATATTTTATTGTACAGATGCTTTATACTGAACTATACTTTTCTGCTCTCTGTCTTTTCATGAACTTTTCTCTTACTGATATTGCTTGAAATTTCATCAGATTAGTACTATTTTAGGAATATTCAAGGCAAGACCTTGTTTTAGGATCCTTACCTTGTCTCTGAAAAGCATGCTTGTATCCTCACGTCCAGAGGAAGACAATGGGCAGAAGATGCACAGTAATCAAAATTTATGTCTGACCTTCAGGGCACGAGTCAAGGACTGTTTACACAGTTCATTGAGTTCAATCCATTTGAATTGACAGCAGATATCATTCTCTTCTTTTTCATGGGGTCTTAAAGGTGGATTAAAAAAACCCTCGTGTTTGCCTACTGCCACTAGGTTTAGTAACTAGCTAACGTACTGTAATACTTGATATTGAGTTTATTCAAAATATTTTACCAGTTAATTCTTAAGATATTTTTTGACATCTTGATCTGTGTTTAAATGTTCAGTTATGTGAGTGCTACATACCATTTAAATCAAGTGACCTTCTGAGCAGTTTTCAGAAGATAACTGCAGTCCTCAGAACGAACTTTAAAAGTACATTTAACTTCAAGTATGCTCACATTCAAATACTAGAACTGAGTTCATTCTCACTAACGATTGTTACTTTTAAATAAGGTTTCCAAGCTATCTTAAACCCTACTGCCTTGTCTACACATTCCTTTACATTCATTAATGCTTTTAAACAGCTGGAAAAAAAGTTGTTAGTAGTTGAACTGACCAATTGCACTCTGCAGCATCAGCCATTGCCTTGGGTGAAGCATCTTTAAAATGCATTCCCTCTCTGCAGAATAGTTGGTAACACGTCTAGCCGGTATTAGTAGATGCTGCTGTCTTCATTCTCATGAGAAACTGAGCATATTTACCTAGAGTGAATGCTAGGTTAGAAACCTGTGTTCAAGACAGAAGATGCCTCATTGCATCAGGCATCTGTTCCCTTTTCTCCTCAAACTTAGCACCAATGATCTTCAGAATAAACCCAGTTGGACAGATGGCTTATGTTGACCTTGCAGGTGCTTGTTCATTTGTAGCTTGGCAAAAGTGGAGGCCCTAGCCTGAGCTTTACAATTCCATTTGCTACCAGGAAAAAGAAGTATCCTTAGCTATTTTTAAAAATTTTTGGTGCTGTAAGAACTTCCAGCACCATGGGTAGATACCAGAGCTATTTTAAAGGCCACAAAAAACTAGCTAGAAGTCAGCTTGCTGTAATGTGTCAGGGAAGCCTCCCCCACTTGACTGGATTAAATGCTCGGTGGGATTTGCAGCAGATTCCAGTTGAGGCGCTTACAAATAGTGTGAATATTGTATTTCAAGGAAACCAGTGTGGTTTATCCCTGTTAAATGGCAAGAGATTAACAGCTCAGGGCACTTTGTTAGTGTCAAGCTTGGAATGGTTTGACTGTTTTGGTTTGAAATTAGTAGTGTGGTTTAAGACAACTTTTTCTGCAGACCTAAGGAATTTCGCAACACATAAAGAGGAGAAAAGTATGATAGTGTTCCCTGTAACATATAATGGTGTTTAATGCATCTAAAGGCAGAATAATACTTGATTCAATTCTCTAGTTGGTGTAAGGTAGACCTGCTAGTAACCTGTTGCTTATAAGATGCATCTAATGTTTCAGTTGATGGATTGAAAATTTCTGACTGTGCAGTTATACTGGGGTCAGAAGTTTACCAGTAAGGATAACCGGCCTTTCCTGGATATTCAGCCGTAAGTTTTGAGAATATTTTAAAATCCAGTGATGTTTAGCGTTCATAAACAAAAAGGGATTTAAGGTTTATGTTTTAAAAGCTGGTGAAGTTTTAGCATTCCTAATCATAAAGGAGGTTAAGCTTTAGGTTTTTAAGCCATAGCACCGTATAATGGCATGGCTTCACTTTTAACTGTGTCTCTTTTTTGAAGATTCACTAGACTTTGCCTATGCTAATCATACTCATCGTAATTGCGTTCATATGTGGTTATGGTCTTTTAAACCTTTATGGAAGTCCCTGTGCCACAGTAATGGGATTTACCATAGGTTGCTAAATCAGGAGAAGAGTTCTCAGTCCTGAACAAAATTATAATCTACATTCAGAAGCATTAGAAAAAAGATACAAAGAAATCTGTTTTGCTGCTTTATACTACATCCTTGCAAAGAATAAGATGAGCAAATGGAAAGGTTCTCATATGTTCAATTAAGGTAAAACTGATCTAGAAATGCCAACAGGAAAGTGCACGTTTGCCTTCTCTTTATTCTTCTAACTACCATAGCTGAATCAATGAAACACCTCTCTTTAGATTTGAATTAGGAGAAATGTTTCAATTAGGGCCTGCCGCTTTGGCAGTTATTGGTGAGGTCTCAGGGAGGAATGATGTGTTAGTCCTTTTGAACATGATGAAGTTTGTTTTGAAACACCAAGTTCCCTGGAGAGTGTTGCAGCAGTGTACTTCGTTGGGTGAATTGAACAATGTGGTTGACATTTAAGTGGCTATTTTTTATGGAAATATTGTATTGGAAATCTGCCCATGTCAGTGTATTGAGTCGATAAAGATAGTATTGCCATATTGAGTAAAACCACATAGCAATAATTAAACAGTTCTTGCATTAAAACAATTTGTATTTTTATGTATTTTTATGTGTGAAGATGTAAAATTCTGTTCATCAGTTTGTTGCTACTAACCAGTAACAGATTTCAAGATTTTGTTGAAGCGTTCTTTTACCACTGTTTTTTGACTTCCACCATGTAAGCCTATGACAGAAACCTGGAGTTCATTTTACTTTGTTGGAGATACAGGCCAGCCTTACACCTTTGCCTGCTTTGATGGTGATTTACTTGTATAATTCTTTAGTTGGGTGAAGTAACAGGACTCAGCTGTGTTATTCTGAAAGTTACAAGTTTTTGATGTCATGAAGTGACAAATCCAAACTGAAATGTCAGGTAGTGCATGATGAGCTAGTAGATAATGTGATTTTTGTCCTGTATGTTTCATGATGTACTAGGAGAAGTTGCTTTTGCAAGCTGACTCTGAAAGCTGTTTGGCCTCTTCTGGACCAGCAAGACTGGTCATCCTAGGCATGTTCATGAATTAAGTACTTAAACGTCTTTATTTAAATAGGTGTCAGTTTAAACCTCTTTCTTAAGCTTGTATTTTGTTTTTCTTTTAGTTAACAAACATAAGCCATGGATTGAAACAACCTATCATGGTATAGTTACAGAAAATGACAACACAGTACTCTTGGATCCTCCCTTAATAGCTCTGGACAAAGATGCACCGCTGCGTTTTGCAGGTAAGGGATTCATCTGCATTATTAATTTTTTTAAAGAAGTATAAATGCTTTTTTCATGGCAACTGTTGTGTGTTACTTAGTGTATTTTCCCCAGCCTTAGCATAATGTTTCTCACCTTTCGTCCCATAAAAATTGTTGGTCTATGCACCACATAGATATTATTATTATTGATATCTATAACTGTGATTGTCTAGATCTGCCAAATATTCAGACTAGATTGCAGTATTTCTTTTCATGTGTATATATTGCAGTTAGGTTTCATGTATATACATTAATTTTTCTGATTTTTTTTTGCATAGCATGTAATTTTTTCCTAAGTCCTCTCACATTTCACATGCTCTCTAGAAATTCTGAACAAGTTAGTTTCTTAGTCCGATGAGAGTTTTCATTTTTCTTAGTGTTTTTGGTTTGTCTTTTTCTTAATAGATCGTGAAAACACAGTGAAAACAGTTGTTAGTAGAATCAAGATTGCATTTCTTCTGCAAGATTGCAGTATTTGGACTGAGAGTTTTTATAGAAATTCAGCCTTTTTTTGATAAATTTGCCTAACAGTTTGGCATATTTTTAGAAATAGACTTCAATCACAAGATGCACTATTGGTGTATAGCTTAGTCTGTATTGGAGAATAGAAGGGGAGTATAAGAGAACACATGATTTCAATACTTTCTTTTCTATCATAAATATGAGACATGAGATTTTGTGTTGAATTGTTTGGTTAGCTTGGGTCTTTTGAAGTCTCTAAACATCAGCTAAGAATTCTCTGCAGTTCCTGCATCTAGGAAGAGGGTGAATGTTGCATAAGTAGGCAGGATCTAGTCTTGCTGGTGTGCAAAGTATCTTCACAGATAATGGAGCTTTTCACATGGTGTGGTAGCATAATGCTTACTGATGATGACATTTAAAAGTAACATGACTTCTTGTAATAGTCTTTCAAGTTTCTGTTTAAGTTAGTGGGGGACAGTCAAGGCTTTTTTTTCTAGGGTGTTGTTTAGCTGCATAAAGAAAGCATGTCTAAACTAAAAGATTTGAAGCCTGAGCAGGTAAAATAGAGGGAGTTAGATGGAAAGGAATTATACTCCATTAGTTTTAGGTTGGAGTGCTAAAGCACAGACAGGCATTACATCATTTGCCAGGGAGTCTGTAATGAATTCAAATCTCCTAGCTTCTGTGTGCTGTAATATCTTTGCTCTGGGATCATCTTAGAGCATTTTTCTCTTCTAACAAAGAGTAGAGAGAATGATACACAAGCCATTTGTGAAGTGTAGTCTAATTTAAATTTGACTTAGGATCGAGAGCTGACAGTTTCGGTAGTTCTCTTGCAGTCTTCTGCAGTAGTCTCTTTCTGGAAACTGCTGTTTAAGAATATTCATTAAATGGGTTCAGTAATGTGGAAAATACTTCTTTGGTTTGGCAAGATATTAGAGAACTGTGTTTGAAAAATACCGTCTGGTATCTTTGGGTTTTTTAATTAATTGTAGTGGTTTGCAGTCTCAAATTAGATATTTGCAGAAGGTTATTTAAGTAATACCTTAAGCTTAAGGAAAGTACATGCAGGGTATATTCCTGGAGTTTGTCAGATTTTCAGGGGAAATTTCAATGTCAAAGCATTACATCAAGTGATGTTAAATGAGACAGCTTCTCTGTTGTGCTAAACCAAATTCTATAACCTTGCTTTTCTTTAATGAATGTTTTTAACAAATGCAAATGGATTCTATAAAAAGGTTAAACATTATATGTTTTGGCTTTCAAAATCCAACAATTCTTAAGCAGCTGCATAAGAATGGTATATTAAAAATAGCTCTTCTCCCAAGTCCTGAACATGGGATGCTAACATCATACAGAAATTTTTCTTTAAATATGAGATTATTGGATCTGCATTGTGCAAGTTTTGAATGACAGATGTTTTATGGGAATCTATAAACGTATTTGTCTTCCATTAAATGGAACAATACTTGAATTTGTCGTGGAGGATATCAAGTGTGGGAGTGGTGTTGAATCAGCATTAGCAACTTCTTCTAGTTGGTGGTACTGTAGTCATGTCCCAGCCCAGAGAATAGCGTCGTTATTGTCCAGCAGCATCTGTGTGGGTGTTGAAGTGTGAGAAGCCCATTAGATTAGCAACAAAATATTTTCACAGCAAAACATGGTGCTTCCAGGCTTAAATGTCTATTTCAGCCATAATCAGTATATTCTTACTATAAATCAAATTTATTCTTGCTTCAAAAAGTTGATGTTTTAATTAACTGTGCCCCCTAGCTGAGCAGCAAGCACTTCAAAAACGTCTATAGTGTTAAAGTTGAGCTTTTTTGTTTCAGTTTTAAGCACCTCAAAGCATCTTGAAACAAGTTCGTTTAACTGTGTTATAGTATTTGAACTGTGGGGCAGAGAAAGGTAATATTTTATTGCTTTACTGCCATTGTGCAGTAGGTAGGATCCTAAAATTTTAATGTTTTGAAAGAAATTCATACGTGCATAAATGAGTAGGATTACAGAGACTTCTTCTGAGATAATTGGTGTGTTTTTACCAACTGATTTGTAGAAACCTCTGTGGAATTGCTTTCCTGTACCGTGATGTTTGTTAGGGATCTGTTTGAGACAAAGACTATTTAAATTCTGTGGTGAAACTTCTAATTACAGTTTCAATCAAGTTGGAAGTTGATCATAATGCCTTTGCTGAAAAACAGCATAAGAAACAACTGCATTTTCTAGTACACATAAGGGTAATCTGTCCAAAATGAGACTAATGTCTGAAACTCTTGGTATGGATTTCCCTCCTATTTACTATGCAAAAAGAAATGAAATTTTGGTGTGTTTGAAATAACATTATATCTGGATGTGTTCATGTAGTTAAATATGAATTGTTTAGATAGTCTAAACAGGATTTCAGCAGCAAAATTTTTAAATTGCTTCCTTTTACTTTTTTTTTAAAATGTACCTGTTATATATTAAAAAAGCTCTCTAAATGCTAGCAAAGACTGTTCTTCAGCCATGATATTTACTTTCCCTTTGTTAAGTAAGGATGCAAGAAGTATTTTTGTGGGAGTTAGGAATTTTGAAGCCTAGAACACGAGTATTCCTACAGCTTTCAAAATGATCTTGCAGAATCTCTATTCATTCTGCAGCATCTCTATTCACTCTCTAAACAAACCAACCAACCCAACCCCGTGAGGCGCCCTGCTGGCCTCTCCCCGGAGGTGTGTGCAGTCCCGTGTCCTGCCGGTGCCGGGTGTCCCCGCCACCTGCCAAGCCGTGTTTGTTCAGGGCAGGGAGCGGTGCTGACGTCCTGTCTGCAGTAGCCTGGTGTGTAATGCTGCTCTCAGCTGGGTGATGGTTGCAAAGAAATGGTGTGGACAGAAGATGAATGACGTTGTGGTATCAAACAGATACGGGTGTTGTTCTTGTCAAATTGCATGCGTTATTCAGTGAGCATCTGACAAATATTGTTTGTTGGCAGTTTGTTAGCAAGCCAAAGAGTAAATTTTGTTGCAATAGTATTTCAGCCAAGACATGCATAAGTGACATTTTGTTTGGTACCTATTATGCATTGTCAAGGAATGAGTGGTGGTGGGGGTGAGTGACATAAGGCACTTCACTCATGTGAAAGAAATAGTAATAGGTTTTATTGGTATGGACAATGATTTCACGAGATTCTATGGCAAGGTCACCTATTTACTGCATGGGGTACAAGACAATACACAGAATTCTCAAGGACACCCTCCTGTTGAGTCCCAGGATTCAGATTGGACCCCCTTGCTTTCCAGATTCCTCCTGAGCAAAGTCTGGGTGAGGCTGAATCCAATCCTAATCACAGACTTGTAAACTTCACTGCCATAACCGGGCAAAAAAATCCTTAGTCATAAACTGTTGACCAAGTTCAAAAAGAGAGCGTGCTAGAGTCGCTTAGCACGGACATGTAGTGGCAAGGATCTCTCAACCCTGAGGATTATCCTTGAGAGATGTCCCTGCCCAAGGGGAGATCCTGGCGTGCAGCCCGCTGCCATGCAAGGAGAGCTCCATGGGCTCCCGGACCATCTCCTCATTTATGGGATGAGATGATTGTCTTCTAGTCATTCTTTCATTTCAGAGGACTTTTGGCTGGTGTATTCACAATTAGCCTTATCTCCCTGTCAGGATGCAGCCATCAGGACTGTTATTGATGGTTAATGTCTGAGTGGGGGAGAAATCAGGGAGGCCACCACCGAGATCGGGTGGTTGACACCTGCACAGGGCTGCGTGTGGGAAGGCAGGATGCGCTGGGGAAGGAGCACGCCCATCACAGGCATACATATACTAATGCAAATACACTTGGCACTAATTATGAACTTTAAACTTAGATCTCTTTTTTAATAAGCATTCAGTTTTTTATGGTACTGAGAAATACTTGTTTTAAAGGAGTTTCTAAAATGCTATAATAGCAGGCTCTCCTGGGTGAGTTTCCAAGAGTGACTGCTGCTTCCTCAGAGCTGGTTGAATATAAATGCTCTCATTTTGTGCTATCCCACTGCGTTTTCATTCCACAAAACCCTCAACAAATCCTCAGTGTCATTTGATTGTACTATAGTGGGAAGGGGAAATTGCTGAAATGCACAGTGCTTCAAGGAGACGGGATTGCTGTGTTCTCTGGCTAATGTAAGTTGCACAAACTCGCGTTATCTTTATTGCCAAGCAGAATTCTGCAAAGTTCTATCCTGGTTACATTTTATATAGCTGAACAAATCTCAGTATATCAAACAAAAGCTAATTTACAAATTGAGCTTGGCTCTCTTCTAGGAGTAGAAAAGTTATTTCACTAACGTATCCAACCTTCAGAATGAAATGAGAAAAAGCAGTGTGCTTCTGTGACGCAGCATCACATAGTAAAACACCTTAGGGAGCATATTTCCCACTAAACAAATTGTATTGGGACTAAACTTATTTTATAGCAAAGAAAAAAAATCACTGGAAAGAGCTCTATAATCATATGAAAGCATTTTAAATGGCTTTTTACCTCTACTATATAAATATGTATTTTATAACTGAGATGAAAGTGAGTATCATCCCTATGTGGGACTATTCATCTGTAAATTGTCTTATCTGTCTTGAAACAGTCCTCCAACAATATCTCTAATATGTTTTGGAGAGAGGAGGGAGAGCTTTAATTTCTGAAGTAATTCGTACTTTAGGCAATTAAATTATTTCATTTTGCTTCCTTTCATGGCAGAGATACTGAGAAGTGAGATACTGTGGCTTAAAAGGCCTGCTTGGGAGCTGTGCATTTGCTTATTTAGAGCAGTCTTATCGTATGTAACATTGTAGTTTGTATGCACTACAACTTTTTCAATGACGAGCATTTGGGTGTTTAGTAGTAAAAACACTTCACAAGTATGAAATGGAAAATATGATTGTACTGGATCAATAGTTCTTCTGAGAAATGTCTGGCAGGAGCTGAGCTATAATGCATCTTGAACAGAAGCCTTAATGCCTTAAGAAGCATCTGGAGACACATGGCCATTTATCAGAGGGATGATTTGTGTCTTACGCTTGGGAGCTTGTAATACCTGAACTCCTGGCAGCCAAGCTTGGTGCCGATGCCAGAGTTAGAGGCCACTTCGACAGTAAAGAACTGGCCAGCTTTAAAAGTCCTCCCTTCTCCCAGACAGATAACTGCCATATTAATAAACTTCTCCCTCCTCCCTCCTTTATCAGATTTTGTGTTTCAGTATTCTCTTCCGTATATTTCTTTTTGTAATCTTAATATTTCACACTTGTCTCAATGTTAGAATTGCTGGAAGGGGGCAGGAAGATGGGTATAAAGAAATGAGAATCAGCATTTAAAAGGCTGCAGTTGGAGTGCTGGCGTTCAGTGGTGTTAAACAGGAATTTTAGTAGTGTAAGATTTTCATGAATGATCCTATTACTAAAACATATTAAAATCCAGGGTCATATTTATGTCCTGTGTAATAATATACTGAGATAAATTATGTGGAGACCGTAAGAGGCAATATATTTAGTGCATTAAAATAAAGAACCTATTATAAACCTAGGGATTATCCTAACTGAGTTTCAGGGAGAACCTTTGTGAGAGCTATTTCTGAAACTTTCTACTTTTAAAAAGAAGGGCTACTGTTTAATACTGTTTAATAATACTGTTTAATGGTTAAAATACTATTATAAGGTATTTTTCATTAAAGCTATGACATATATGCTTCTATGTTGAATCGGAAATTTGCCTTTTATTTTTAAAGAAGATATTTCTCTGCAACTTGTAGTGCCTCATCGCTTTTTAAAGCTGTTGTAGAATAGAGACTTCAATAGCTGTGTTATTGCAAGTTTATTGGAAAGTGTGGGAACTGACAGGAGATCTACTGGGAATGATTTTAAGGGTGAAAGTCTGCTTTGTTATACTGCAATTCAGGTCAAAGATAATGATAATCGGGAAAAATAATTGATACGTTAAGTGATAGGTAAAAGGTGGTAGTCTGGGGTTTTAACGACATTGTGATTTAATGACAATATAATTTTCAGGGGGCTGAAGAACCTGGTTGGCTGTCTTTTGCATTAAAATGGAGACGCTTTAACCAAGTGCCTAAACACAGCCATGAGCTCCCATTTCAAACTAGTTGTATCTGAGTTCCCTTCGTGAGGGTGGGGGGTACGATGCAGGACACTGAGAAGGCCCCTACCCTTCCAGTGTCCCTGGGGTGGGCACGCCAGGCTACCCGAGGGCATCTCTGATATTAGCAGAGGACTCTATTTGGGTTCCAGAATCTCTGTGTTCAGCATTCCAGCATTTCAGCAGCAAAGTAAAAGATAGAAGGAGCTTTTTAGTTTAATATGGAAAAGAAATACACTGTGAGAAAAATCATACAGGCTTCCCCCCTCCTGTATTTCTTAAGTTAAAGCTTTAATGTTCATCAGGATCACAACTGAATGTGCATATTTATAATCACAGATTGTGACAATACTGTCAAGTCTGATGTAGAATTTTAATTTTGCAAATGATAGCTGTTATGCAACATAGGCCAATGCAATTTTATTTGTAAACACAAAAATCCAGTCACTGTTTCAAAAACATATTTAGTTTGCAACTCAAAGGGGAATTCTTAACTCTAGAAATGGTTCTACTATGGTAGGCAAAAAAATGTGTAAATTATTTAACACGTCTTCCTTAAATAGGAGATCACTTCAAAAGTCTACAAATGACAACCTGGAGATAAAAGGTTAAATGGGATTTAAAATAACTGAAAGTCTAGGATTGTAACAGTTACAGCAGATCACCACTGGAATTTTTAAATACAATTTATCCAAAGCTTTTCTGTGTAATGTCTGCATCTTTGCCTTTTCCTTATTTGCTCCCTTTCAACCTTTCCTGTAATACTGACTTGGGTTTATCTTTTCTCCCTTTAGAGAGTTTTGAGGTGACAGTCACCAAAGAAGGTGATAAAGGGTTCTTTCTATCCCTTTTATGAATATTAACCCACTAACTTTGGTTATGAAATGGGGAATCAGCACTTAAACAGAAGATCCTGTCATGTTCTTTTGTCCCATTTATTCTCCCAGTTTTTTTCTATTTTAAAATATATTGATAAAAAAATTTATGTAACCAAACCCTTGGTTAGAAATATCTGTAAATCAGACATCCATTTGAACCATTTGGTATTGTTTTAGATTGCCTGGACATTGTATAATATTTTGGGAAAACTAGCATTTTCTGATATTTTCACTGATAGCTTACTTCTCTTGGGCATTTTACATTTTTCATATGCTTTGTAAAGTAATAATTAACTTCCAAAGCATTATAGCACCTTCTCTATAGTATGCTTGCTTGAGTATGTACTTGAGTACATTATTTTACTTGGGTACGTTATTATATTGAGTACATTGTATTGCTTAAAATCTGAATCATAAAAACATACTTTTAAAATAGACTCTGTCTACAGTAGGAGCACATTCTTGGTACCATGGTGCCATTGCAGCTATAATAGCAAAGAGTGTTTTATGCTGGTACAAGAAAACCATATTCAAAGCAAAATAAGTTACAAAGGTAAAAACAGCGTAGCTGATCAAACAGAGTTTATTGCATGGCTTTTGTTAGCACAGCTAGGTCAGCAAGGGCTCGCTCCTCATTACAAGCTGGCAGATTGAGCTAGCTTTGCCAGCAAGATGGCTTGTAATGTAGTCTTGGCCTTAGATGCATTTTCAAATGATGTTCTAGACAATTCTCATTCAAGTTTGTTAGAATGAAGAGCTTGAATAGAAAGAAAGCCTAATAAATCATTCCATGTGAGAGCTTCCTTGACTAATACATTTGGGCTGTATTATTAGATAGCTGTTGAAATGGATGCCTGAGAAGTTGGTATTTCTACCATTCTCATTTAGGAGTTTATTTTGATTCCCTAATTTTAGCCAGGTACATTGCACAGGAAGACTTTGTTCTTTGATCTGTTGACAGAATTTCTGTAATTATGCTGCTGAACCTGAACTCGGAGCTTTTTCACCCCTCGACTTGTAACTGTGCATTTTAACCTTTTGCTCTGGTCAAAATAAACAAGCTGCCCAGCTATTCCCAGTAGCTTGGCATAGAAGATATTACCAGTGGCCTTGGCTGTATGCTCTCATAAGATCTACTCTTACCCTAGAGCTACCTCAAGTACTCCTGTGAAATGCCTGTCTACATTTCTCTTTCGTATTCCTGCATGAATGGATGCAAAGTAAACAAGTTGCTTGGAAGGCAGACGTATGCTTCTTTTTACTAAAGTTCCCAGAACTCGCCCATTTTAAAGCACAATGCTCTTGCTTTGTCCACAGACCCTCACAAACCCTTGGCTGCAAAATATTTGGTCATTTGTTAAAGAAAAAAAAATAGTAGTTTTGACCGATTCTAACCTCTGTTACTTTGAATCTCTAGGTGAGATTTGTGGATTTAAAATTCATGGGCAAAATGTCCCCTTTGAAGCAGTGGTAGTGGATAAATCCACTGGTGAGGGAATAATACGCTCTAAAGAAAAGCTTGACTGTGAACTGCAGAAGGACTACACGTTCACCATACAGGCCTATGACTGTGGAAAGGGACCAGATGGAGCAAATGCAAAAAAATCCCACAAGTAAGTCCGTTTGTACTTGGCTGAGGGGAAGTTTGCTTTCAAGTGGTCTCTTGCACATTGCGATTTATGGTCTGCATGTGTAGAGGGAATGTGAACCAAGTGACTTTCATGTAATGGTAATATAAATAGTAGCAAAATTGAAATGAGCTGTTTTGATATCTCTTTAGCTATATTCTAGATGTTACTACTATTTCCTGTTGTCTCTGAATTTACATTAGAAAATTTAAATTTTCTAGACAGAGGCAGAAAAACTGCTGAAGTAGTTTATGGTTTGAGTTGCTAAAGGTTTTGCTTGGTCTATTAAACTTAGAAATTGCTTGGAATTCAGTTTCTAATATCTAGAAACTGACTCAGGAAGTCATTGTCTTAAGCATGACAAAATGGTAAAGAATAAAGGTTTCATGTCATTTCTGGGCAACTTCACCTAAATAAATAAATAAATAAACAAGATCAATAGCATAAGATTCCTCCCTGCCTAGATAAAAGAATGAGAACAAAGCTAACTTCAACTAATCCGTGTCTAGAGGGAAAACCACAATGTAGAATGTTTGCTAGAAAATCCATTTGAGAAGGAACTGTGTAACACCCTGGTGGAAACATCTGCAGTGCATGTGAAGGTTACTGTTTGTGTTAGGCAAAGAGCGACCTAAGATGAGGATTAGGCTAGTAGCATCATCTTGGTGACTAGTATTAATTGTTACTCTACTAGCTGTATACCTTAAATAGGCAGCAGAACCAAAAATAAATCTGAATGGCTTCATCTGTAAAAGAGCTTTTTTAAAAAAATTCTTTGCCTGAATGGGAGTTCTGCAATACAAAGAAAACTCACTTTTTTGTCCTATTCCCAGAGCAACGGTCCACATTCAGGTGAATGATGTCAATGAGTATGCTCCTGTGTTCAAAGAGAAGTCCTACAAGGCCACAGTTATTGAGGGGAAGAGGTATGACAACATCCTGAAAGTGGAAGCAGTGGATGCAGATTGTTCACCTCAGTTCAGCCAGATCTGCAGCTATGAAATTGTTACTCCGGATGTTCCTTTTGCTATTGATAAAGACGGTAAGACTAGTGTGGGAGACACGGTGGGAAACACTGTAGTTTACTCCTTAAGAATAGTGTTTCAAAATGGTCAGCATAAAACCAAAATAACCCTGCTATAACCATTTTATAGAGTATAATTGAATGGACTTTTTTTTTTTTTTTTTTTTTTTTTAGCAATTTAAAGAAGTTATCTTTGAGTGCCAATATGTGTGCTCTTCAATAATGTAAGGAGTAGTGATTTACTGCATGTTCTTTGTTTCTTGTAAAATGCTTCTCAAAGAAAATATGGTAGCTGTGTTACGATCTAAGTTAGCTCTTAATTATTTTTTCTTCTGCTATGGTTGTTCTTTCCTATATTAGGATTCATTTTGCTAATCAGCTTTCAAAAATGGGATTCTGTGTGTGCTTTTTATATTACAGATGCATTTTATTTGGCTGTGGAAAGTAACTCTGCTGTGGATATTGGGTTTTAAGTGTAGTGATTTGTACATGCCATTTCCTTCAGCCTCTGATCTTTGGACCTTTGAAAAGCTATAGGCTATTTTCAGGGGCCCAAAGAAGCTGCTTTAGTTTGCTTCAGGGAAGGGAGGGTCCATACTGCTAATGGAAGACTTTCAGGGATCATTAAAATTTAAGAAAGATGAAGACCCCTTGAACATGTCAAAGAAATTATTTGCTGCTTGCCACCTGTGAGCAGTTTCAGTAACACAGCATATTTTGTAGAGACTGGTAAGACTCTGTTCTGTGTATTTGGGCTAATCATCTGGATTTACAATTTTTGAAAGAATCTGGGTTTGGTGCCTAGCATTCAAAAGTCAAGTAATGAAGGCACTTGCTAATTCAGGTCTTTATGAAAGTACATGTATGAAATACGTACATTATACCTCTGTGCATTTAATGCAGCAGTGAGCTTGAGAAATTAACAGATATTCGTGGTTGATTATCACTGTATTTTTCAGGTTATATAAAAAACACAGAGAAATTAAACTATGGGAAAGAGCATCAGTATAAACTGACAGTTACTGCATATGACTGTGGGAAGAAGAGAGCTGCTGAGGATGTGTTGGTTAAAATTAGCATTAAGCCTACGTGTAAGCCTGGCTGGCAAGGTTAGTTGGATCTTTTACCATCTCCTTTTAGCAGATGTCAATTCCTTACTTAAACACAAGAGATTTTTAATTATTTTTTTTTCCTTTGGATAAATGTGCAGGTTGGAGCAAAAGAATAGAATATGAGCCTGGAACTGGTTCTCTAGCTCTGTTCCCTGGTATGCATTTGGAGACCTGTGATGAGCCAGTAACCTCCGTTCAAGCAACGGTTGAGCTGGAAACCAGCCATATTGGTAAAGGCTGTGACAGAGATACCTACTCTGAGAAATCCATTCACAAACTCTGTGGTAAGAATGCTTTGTTAGAATAAAGTGATGTCTCTTATTCATCTTTTGGAGCATATTACATCACAGCACAAATCAGTGGGTGGTCACCATTTTCATTTGCATAATTTTTTGCCCAACTTTTTGCCTATCAAACAATATAAAGCATGAAATCAGTTGAGAGTAATGTTTTAAGGTAATTCTCAACTGCAGTGAAGAAGGGTGTTACATATGCAGACGAGCATAGCCTCTCTTTTTCCATAGGCATGAATGATGAGAGGGATGTCAGAAACCCGTGGTGAAAAATTAGATGAAAAATGCAAGAAAATGTGTTTGAGGGAAAACATCACTTAAATAAATTTAAGCTATGTCTAAATGGCATCTTGACATCCATGTGTGTTGCAGTTAAAGGGATAAAGAAATGTTTCTGAAGGGCAAAATGGAGGAACTGAGATTACAGTCCAAATCATCACTGATGGGCAATATCTTCATCTTCAGTTAAAGTTAAGTGGGAGGTGTGAATTTAGTGCAGACCTAGAGGCCTCGGGGAATTGCTAAGCTATTCCCACAGTTATATCACTTTGATAGTCGTATTTTAGAGTTGAAAGTGGGGAAAAAGCGGCAAGCTGAGCTACTGCTCAGTGTGTCATTACTTCTGGCTATGATATCTTAGTGATCTGTGAGAGAATGTTTGGGTTCTGAATGAGAGTCTTATGGAGCCCTCTTCAGCTGGATGGATATGGGCCTTACGACTAGTATGGACCTGAGAGACAAGTGCCTTTAATATAGTGGTTCCCCAGATGGAAGCAGAACAAAGCTCCACATCTGCAGAGCAATAAACAAAATATTTTCAATTATCTATCAAGAGGTTAATTTATGGAAGACATTGTCATCTTAGGTGTGTCTAATGCCAACATATTCAAAAGTACGGTTACCTAATGCATGATGGTAGGGCATAATCCTGGCAGATAGTAGGGAAAAATTTAAAAAAGGGAAGAAAAAAAAAAGGATTTGAAACCAGCTGTAATCATTTTAGTTTCTGCCTTTTTAATTTGAGCATTTTTATTGTAGGTGCTTCTTCTGGAACAGCTGAGCTACTTCCTCCTCCAAGTAATGCTGCTAACTGGACAATAGGACTTCCTACAGATAATGGGCATGACAGTGACCAGGTCTTTGAATTTAATGGAACACAAGCTGTGAAGATTCCAGATGGTGTTGTCACAGTCAATCTGAAAGAGCCCTTCATGATTTCAGTATGGATGCGGCATGGGCCTGGAACCAAAGAGAAAGAGACAATCCTGTGCAATTCAGACAAGACAGGTTTGTCATTCAAATATAAGCAATTATCAAATATGAACAGACACATTGTTGTTCTTGGTCCTGCCCCCCGCCCCACACACAGTTTTTTAATACATTCTAGCAGCCTGATACCTTAAGTCTTTTCTCTAGGTTAGGACTTTCTTGCAAGTGAAAGGAAATGAGCTGTAAAAGACACTTTTTTGTGCTTACATATAGAGATGTAAGCCCTTTAATTGTTTAGTTCACATTAGGCAGACGTGCTGTTTTAACTCTGTTTCAATATACGTTATATATTTCTTTTCATTGTGGTAAATTACTTCTTCTGGTAATGCAGTCTGTATTGTGTAACTCAGAAAAAACAGTCTTATTCTTGATACTGCCTAAAGTCATGCGTCAGGTTTAATGATTTTGCTACTAGGTATTTTTTTCCCTAGGAGGAAATAGTTTCTCTCCAATGATAAATTTTTTCTTATCCTGTGAGTGGCTTCAGTCTGTGTGAATGCTGTAGACAATCAGCATTCACAATCAGCATCTTCAAAATTCATTCTGAAGATGGTGTTGATAATAATAATAATAAAAAATCTGATTACCCTCTTCCCATAATTACTGTCTGATGGGGTAGAATTTTTGTCTTTGTCGTCTGGAGAAGTCGCTTTGCTCCATGTATTAGAAAGATATTTTGGCTAAAACACAGTTAGCTTTTTCAAAGGAAACCGGGCTGAATAAAGACAAAATACAATAGCTCTCATCTTTAGTTCAATTAGATTTGATTTAAAAGTAAGGAGGACTTAATACTATCCATAACACTGTAAAAGCATTTCTTTGAAAGGGGAGACGTGGCTATCATTTCTCATGCATTAGTTCTCAGAAAAGGAACAAATATCCACCTCTTTTTCCTACCTTCACCAATTCCTGTTACTCAAAACCCAAATTTTGAATTAATGGAAGTGAACTGGAGGAAAGAAAAGATAGTAGATTTCACTTTCTGAGTCTTAAGTCCTAGTCCTGGGTTCAGCTTGGATTTGGAGACAGGGATATGGCTGTTGGTCACGCTGTTATCAGTATTACGCTTAGGCTGTTCAAGAATGTTTGTTCAACCCACTTCTGCGAACATTTCCCATTCCTCTTCACATACCTGATCTTCTACATTTGTTTTTTCCTATTATTAAGCTGTGTATTTATCTAGGGAATTTCACAGCACTAGAAGTGTATTTTGTGCAGTTTTTAAGTTTTACAGAAAAAAATAATATGAATTAAAACCTCTCATGCAGATATGAACCGGCACCACTATGCTCTCTATCTACACAACTGCCGACTTGTTTTCCTATTTCGCCAAGATCCTTCAGAGGGAAAAACATATAAACCTGCTGAATTTCATTGGAAACTAAACCAAGTAAGTTTGGAAAAACAGTTGGTAGGTTGTTAGAATACAGTAATGACCACAGAAGCCTAAACTCTCTGATAATATACTTATTAATAATATTTTTGTACCTCCAGACTTACGATGCCATGTTTTATAGAAAGCAACAGTATTTACTTTTTTGTGATAAATTGCCAGAGATATATCCAGAAATCCTTAGTAGTCTTGAATTGAACTGTAATCAGCTTGCACCATGAATAATTCTGTCATGGAGAGCTCTGTTATATTGAAAATGGCCATTTTTTGCTGTAGCTCGTTTCTCTCAGCAAAGATGGATCATTTGTCAAGTAGTGTTGCATAATAATAGTATCCAAATGTGATCTGTGGTTACACACATGCATTTGCTGATTTGAATGTAACCTGGTATCATTTAGATCTTAAAAAATTAAAGGAGCAGATATACATGCAACTTCCTGTATTGGCAATAGAAGAAAAGAAACAACTTATGGTCTTTAAATGAGTAAACGTGTTTAACAGTTGCCTTGCTTCTTTCAGATGTGTTCCATATGTGTGAAACACAAAACATATTTATACGAGCTTATAATTTGTATATACGTGTGCATGTATATATACACAAAATGTGTATCATATGTTTATTTGATTGCAGATTTTTAAACAATTAAAAGAGAACTTAAACTTTCTTTATTCAGGTGTGTGACAAGGAGTGGCATCATTATGTCCTCAATGTTGAATTTCCAGCAGTAACACTTTATGTAGATGGTGTTTCATATGATCCTTTCCCAGTGACTGAAGATTACCCACTTCACCCTTCAAAGATAGAAACCCAGCTAGTGGTTGGAGCATGCTGGCAAGGTAAATATATACAGTTTTACAGTTTTAATACATTTTTAAAATGAGATCTTTGTGGTTAGCATATGAGTGCATATCTAATCTTTCTAGTGTGATGAAAGATAACTTGTTAAATCATTTGCATGTTTTTGCTCCTAGCTAATATTGCATTTCTTCTCTTCGTCGTTTTTTTCTTGAGTGTTTTTTTGCTCGTTGGTCACAGGTGTGTATGAAATACCAAGCTACTCACCAAACAACATTCCATCAAAGTGATTTTTGTGGTAACCATGGGAATATAGACAGCTTATTTTTAACAATACACATAAGAGTACATCTTATGCTATAAGTTAGTATGCAGAACATTAATTTCAAGTAGGCTAAATAGGAAAAGTGTAATTTAGAAAAAGTAAGTGTTCTCATAAATGGAAGCATGCCCAACAGAGGATTCAGCTAAGCAAAAGTGATGCTGTTTCTTGGGTATTTCACCATTTGTGCTTATAAAAATAAACATAGAAAGCATCTATATTAAAATATGCACACTATGGCTTAAAATACAATTTTATGCAAGTAAAACCTGTAAAAGCTGCTTGTACTCTCTAATACTAGGAAGACAGCTCTGTAAAGCTTGAGAAAATGGTGAAAGATCCATGTGAACACTGAGCATTGGAGGTGGTAACGAGGGAGCTCAGTAACAAAGCTCTTAGTTCATAGTCATGAACTGGAATGTTTTGCCCACTGGTTAAATTATGTCTTTGCTGGTGTAAATAACTGATCGTTCTGGTCAGAGAAAGAGCAATGTTAAATCACTCATGTTCTATTGTTGTTCAGAATATAGTCCCAGTCTGCAGTAATGCATAGAAGTAGCTTTTAAGTGAATGATAAATAAAAGGCTTTGTGGTATTTTCATCAAATTAGCAGTCTTCTATCTTACAGTGTCTCTTTTCTCTTTGAGATTTAAGGCTTTGAAATGTGGATGAACATTAAATTATCAAAATATTCTGTCCTTCCAAATTACCAATTTGTGATGAGTTCACTACCTTTCTGTATTAATGCTATTTCAACCCTAAATTCATTCTGCTGTTCCTTCCTTTAAATTTTCTCTATAGTATGTTTTCTGTATAGTTGATCTATTATTCTGTATGTGACTTTCAAGCTATCCATTCTAAGTCAGAAATAAGCTGTAGTGGCTGACTTTCAAGAAATTGCATCTGGGAAACTATTACAGCAAGGTGTATGGATTGTGTTACAGCTTCTGTAAAAGCCATGTCCTGACAAAAGTTTACAAATTCCTGTGCTTCCTTTATCATGCACAATAATTCCTTACAGTGATGGACATTGGCACCGTTATGACAACATGTAACAACGAGAACTTGCGAGAAATTCCACTGACAGCATGACTTTATCTGCTACTGTTTTAGAGTATTAGAACATGGCAAAAATATATGTGTATCAGGGGGAAGTTAGCTTAAGCTTAAGGCCATTGCCTATATCTTACCAATATTTTTAATAAATCAAGCTGCCCTAAGTTATAGATGCAGTTCATCCCTAGGGAGGGAGAAGTTCTATGATTTCAAATATATATTTTAAAAGCATTTCTCCAGAAAGATTAAAAGCTGATGTTTTTTTCTTCAGAAGCTTCCATTTGATAGATTGACTGCTTAATATTTACGGTGCTGTTAATTCTATCTAAAATCTGTATTAGTAATGGCACCTGTTGATCAGTATTTAATACCTTTTAGAGATCTACCAATATAGGTTCGATTGTATTGTATTTTGCATTTTAGTAGTTGAAGAGGAGATTACATTAGTTGGAAGAGAAGATAATAAATATGCCAGCTGATAGATTTACATCTCACTGTTAATCATGGTTTTATGAGATTGGGTATCCATAAATATTATCCAGTGTGACCATTTTTGCTACGGCTTGCATAGGGGACTCCTCAGGGTTGTTTTGTCATGACTGTTATGTGCTTGTAGCAATACAGTAGTGCTTCTTCCCTCAAATGCAGCCGTTAGTGTTTCAAAGAGCTTGTAATCCCTGAGAAGCTGGTGGAGACTTTCTGGGGGGACGTATTGCTGTGTATTTTTTTTTCTTTTTTTCTATGACATAAGAGAGAATTGGCCTATTCTTAACTACTTTGTCCCTTCCCTATTGTCTGTTCTTTGTCTTGCTTTCCTACAGAATATACAGGAAATGAAAATGACAATGAAACTGTGCCCGAGACCTCTGCAGGTTGCTGGAGTTTTTTCCCTACTGTTTTATTTCATTTTTAAGCCAAGGCGTTGCTTCATCTCGCACATAGCATGAAATGCAAGCATTGCATTTGGGCCATTGACCTTCACGTAATCTGCTCCTAGGCTTGATTCTTCATTGTGCTTTTATTTTCAGTGCTTCACCAACTGATTTTTTTTCTGTTGCACTCAAATGCACATCCATGTACAGATTTGCAGCCATTGTGATTGCAGTGAAGTGGTGTAAAATAAGTTGCTAATATAAAATACTAGCTGCAGTTTCTTGGATCCAGTTTTGTTGAACCATAAATGAATGTCGTATAGGTCATACACCTATACCATGGAATTATTGAGGAGATTGTGAGGGACATCTAGAGGTCAGACAGTCCAGCTCCCCAAAGCAAAACCAATTTTAAAGTTTGATGAGGTTGCTCACATATAACTCAAAGACAGGCCTATAATTTAGAGTAGATATTCACTTGATCAGAAATTGGTGTAAGGTTCTAATAACAGTGCATTGTTATAAAAGCTTTGGCTCCCAGGTATACATTTTGGTTGATGCTATAGGGTTTTCTTTTTCTTAGACAACCTTAGGGATTATTTGGTGGATTTTAAAGCTTAAGCCAAGGCATTTTAAATTACTGTATATTTCTAAAATGAATATGTTCAAAGTATGTATTCTTTCTGTAGGGTTCAAAAATTTCTAAAATGATCTAGAATGAGTAAGAAGAGATTCTAGTTACACATCATCTTTGAAGCTGGCAAGGATGTAACACAATTCAGGGCTAGAAATTGGAACTGTATACATCTGAACTGCAAATTGAATGATTTCTAACAGGATAATTAACTACTGAAAACTTCTATTGCATTATAAAGGGCATCCCTCAGAATCTTCTGCACAGGCTTATACATCCTTCTAAAAATCTCTTGACTTATAGAAACACACACAGAATCGCAGAATGGTTGAGGTTGGAAGGGAGCTCTAGAGATCATCTAGTCCAACCCCACTGCTGCAGCAGGGACACCTAGTGAAGTAAGGAGTTTGAAATTTGAATTTGTGGGTGGTGTTCAGTGAGTCCCATTAATTAGCAAGGTGATGGTAAATATCACATCACCTAAACCTAAGGAGTGCTTAGGATGCATATTGGGTTGGGGTTTGTCCTACCTACCTCAGAGGTCTAAAAAGGAATTTGAACTACTCACTTCAGTCAATTCAGAGGGGAGGACTTAAGCTCTGCTGTCTTGGACATCCATTTCAGGTTGAGCTAAAGCACCTTGTAAGGTGGATTTCTCACCTTCAAGTCTAGAGAGAGCCTAAAATAACTGGTTTAGGTTTAGAGAACTAACATATAGAGGATGGATACTGTCTTCTATCCTGATGGATATTGCTGACTTTATAGAGAACTCGCAAGCAGGTTGGAGATGTTACCCTCAACATGAGGATTCAGGTTGCAAGGTTCATCTCACTGGTTCTGTCTTCTATTTCTTAAGAACACCACCTCGCTGTATGGGCAAAAGAAATATTTGTTACAGAAATATTTGCCTCAGTTACACTGTCGAAGATGGCCACACCTTTGCATCTTGATGGCCATGTGCATGGTGAAATGTTCAGTTCCTTCTTTGTGCTTGAATGTTATCCCAAGGTTAACATCCAGAATGGATAAAAACTAACTTGCATGTATATATGTTGTGGTACTGCAAGAGGTGTTTTTTTTTTTTTTTTAAGAGAAAAAAAAAAAAAGAAATAGCGAATACCTATAAAAGACTTTTTCCCTCCTCCCTTTATGAAGGTGGCGAACTCCACATGGCTCAGTTTTTTCGAGGCAATCTGGCAGGCTTGATGATCCGTTCTGGTAAACTGGAAAACAAGAAGGTGATAGACTGCCTATATACCTGCAAAGAGGGGCTGGATTTACAGAGTGCTGATGGTGTTGGCAAAGGCATAAAGGTAAAACTGCATATGAATAAAAGAAAACATGTATACTGCTTTCCTGATAACAGATACAAGATCAGCTGGCATAACTAGTAGGGGTTTTCCACATAAAATAAGCAAATGTATCTGGGATATTATTTGGGATATTATTTGGGGTATTTTATATAAAAATTCCATGAAAACTAGCAAGTCTTCCTAGTATACATATGGTGTAGTAAACTTGAGGGTCAAAGTAACTGTTTTCTTTAAGCCTTGAAGAGATTATTATTATTATTATTATTTCAAAGCCTGCCTGTTTTACTAGCTGTAAAACGTTGTCTAATAAAAAGCAGAATTTCTTAACAAGCGACTTAATAGAAAGACCTTGACCTGCAAGTCTGTTTTAATAGTAAAGTTGTGTGAAGAAAGCTGATTTGCTCTTATGTATTAGCTGTCTGTCTTCCTTATTAGTAGAATCTGTACGTCAGCACTGTGATAAGCACCTAATTTTTTTTTCTTGAAGATTAAAATACTAAATACATTTGACTGGAATAGGGGTGTGAGCAGGGGAGTTAACTATCAGGCCAGTAAATAGCGACCTCATTACTTTGAATACAGATGTGATTATCTCAGCAATCACCAGGCTGAGCAGTGCTGAACTTTTAGTTTTAAATAGTCAGTTATGTTACTTTTGGATATTCTTTCTCTCCCCTATTGTTTCAGATCCATATGAACCCTAGTCAGTCAACACTGACCTTAGAGGGGGATGATATTGACAGAGTTGACAAGGCCATGCAACGCGTTTCCTATTTGAATTCTCGCCAATTCCCAACACCTGGGATCCGGAGACTTAAAATAACCAGCGTTGTCAAGTATGTCCTAATACTGAAATTTATATTTCTATATTGTGATAGTGGAGCTTGGAAAAATGTGTGTGTGTATCGGTTGGATCTTGCTGTATGTAACCATCACTATTTTAATATAGCTACACAAATGATTGAAATGTCTCATGTTTTAATTGTGTAATAACCACTTACTCTGCACAATTGTGCCTCCCCTTCAAATAGCCTCTTGGAGTGAGCAAAACTGCCTCTGTGTCTTGCAGATGTTTCAATGAGGAGGCATGCATCTCCATCCCTTCTGTGGAGGGGTACGTGATGGTCTTGCAACCAGAGGAACCGAAAATCAGTCTCAGTGGCATCAACCACTTTGCCCGCTCTGCTTCCGAGTTTGAGAGCTCGGAGGGTGTTTCCCTCTTCCCGGAGCTTCGCATAATAAGTACCATTACACGGGAGGTGGAGCCAGAAGGGGACGGAGATGAGGATCCTACAGGTAATATCCTTGTGAGGGTAGGATTGTTGTCTACTCTTACTCCATTCAAAGATCTTCCTTCTCCAAAGAGACATGGATTTCTCTATTGATGCGGAATCTAGTAGGACACTGGAAGGTTTTATCTCTGGTGAGAAGGGGTTGGGCATCTTCTGGGCCTAGAAAGATTTTCCTATAAATGGTAGCAAGCTCTGGCAGTTATCTTAGGGTAAATATCCCTTGTTTGTATCTTTTTTTTTTATCATGATTTTCTTGCATACCTGGTCTCTGCTTCAGGCTCAGATCTCAGTATGTGTTCTGAGAGAAAATGTTGTATTTGCATATGCAATTTTATTGTTCCTGGGCTCTTGTCTACTTCCCCTTTGTTTCTGCTTATCTCTGGCGTTTTCTCTGCTCTTTAGTACAAGAGTCTTTGGTATCTGAAGAGATTATGCATAACTTGGATACATGTGAGGTGACAGTGCTAGGAGAGGAACTAAATCAGGAACAAGAAAGCTTGGAGGTTGATATGACACGATTACAGCAGAAGGGCATTGAGATGAGTAGCTCCAACCTTGGCATGATCATCACAGGTAAGGGGTGACTACTTCTGGCCTTGTCCTGAGAAGGTGGTAATGGGAACTGCCTGCCTGGTAGATGTTTTGTAGCACCTTACCACAGATACTGCTTTTTTTGTCAAGAGCTTCAGGCTCAGAGGTGTTTCCACCATTCTATGGAAAACTGTGATTCTTAAAGACTAACTGTGATTCCTTAAAGACCAATTTTAATTAGGTCTAGGACTAACTGTGATTCCTTAAAGACTAATTTTAATTAGGTCTAGGATTAAAACACAGAATTTCAATGAAGCCACATGTATGTGTAATTTAACAAATGTTTAAGTTTCCAGTCACCAGGAAAAAAATCAGCCAAGGAAACTTGCGAGAAGAAAGGCAGGAAGTTTGTGCAGTATAGGGTGTCTCACTAGTCTTTTGTAAAATAACTGTTTCACTTGTTTCTTTCTTTCTGCAGGGGTTGATACAATGGCCAGCTATGAGGAGGTTCTGCATTTGATACGCTACAGAAATTGGCACACTGTTTCTCTCTTTGACAGAAAGTTCAAATTAGTCTGTTCTGAACTTAATGGGCGCTATGTCAGCAATGAATTTAAAGTGGAGGTATGTGACCTTGACTGATGGCTCTGAGAGTTACTGGAGCCTGGGTGGCAGTACAGATGGAAGTTGTTGTTTCAACACATTGATTAATAATTGCTTTAGATTTTTTTCTGTAAATATTAGTGAACATCTTAAACTGTGTTTTATATTTTAATGTGTTCTTAAACCTACATTTCATTTTTAAATGAAGCTGCCTAAATGGAGATGAGACTGCTATGTCGTAGCAGAAATGATATAGTTAATCGAGGTGTGTGGGGTGGAAGGTTGAATTAGAAAGACAACATACAAATTAAAAAAAAAAAATCCTTGCGAATGGACTACGAGGTGTGTTGCTGCATTGACCAGAGAGTTGAGTAACCTTCACGTATGACTTTTAGGATTCTGTAAATGAACTCACTGGGCCCTTAACTATTTTTGCCTATGTGATGCTTAAGCACTGACACTAAATGCTAGCAAGAATGCTGTAAATTATAAGTTTGCTGTGGGATGAGAGAGAGCAGAGAGTCTAAAATTATATTTCATCTGCATTAGAATACAGGGTAATTATTACTCAGTGCACTTGTACCAAAGATATGAAAGTGTAGCAGGAAATAAAGGGTGCTACAATTCCAGTTGCTCGAACATGAAGTTATCTATTTTGAAAGGAATTGTCATGCATCTGTTATCTTCAGCTGCGAGTTAGAATTTCTGCATTTTAAATTTGAAGTAAAGTTAATAATTGTATTTACCATCATCGGTTGGGTATGGAGGGCTGGGAGAGCTAAGGAGCTGCTTGTGCTGCACAACAGAGGGGTTTTTCATTAAGCAACATGGTTTGTTTCCTGAGGAAATTCTGTGTGCCTGAGTCGGGATCTTGCCAAAGGATTGAACTGCAATTGCTTTCCTTGTGTGTGCTAAACTCGCTCTCTTCCTGTTGTGCAGCTGGTCAGGTACCCTGTATCGTGGTGTTCCCCCACAGCAGGGGTATATTTAGCTCTGCTCCTTTGGCAAGGAAACATGGAATGTGCTGCTGGAACGCTGAGTCGCAGGTGTCCAAGGAGCTGCCCCTTAGCCCTCTGCCTTTAATTTGAGTTTCTTCACTGTTGTTAGGTGAAGATACACAGCAGAATATTAGAAGATGGAAAAGAAGAAAATGTAGTTAATATGGCATATATCTTTGTGTGTATTCCTGTGGCAGAATCAAAATGGCATGATACCAAATTTGATAATGGACTGGCTTTATCCTTTTATCCTGCAATGCTGCTGTTTGCACACAGACTTGCACGCTAACAGAAACGGGTTTGAGGAGTGCAGTTAACTGCAGTGCTAGAGGGTTGTGTTGGCAAGAAGCTGTGACATATGAGGAGCTACTGCTCGAGACGATTGTTGAAATAGAGAATTAGGGCCCCTGAGACAAACCATTGCTATTTTGAGCAAGAATTGGATGCTCACTGTGGGAAATAGATCTCCTCTGTTTCTTTGCTGGTGTATTTCTGGGGTTGAACATTTTCCTTTTGTTCTCAGGTGAATGTTATCCACACAGCTAACCCAGTTGAACATGCTAACCACATAGCTGCACAACCACAGTTTGTTCATCCAGTGCATCATACATTCGTAGATCTCTCTGGGCACAACTTAGCCAACCCTCATCCATTTTCAGGTAAGGAATCTCAGTCACTGAAGCTTAGATGCTTTTTTGCTTGCTTTCAATTTCTGCAAAGAGGTTTTTTTCTCCCAGAGGCTAAAGCTGTGTGTTAGACTAATCTAAGCAGCTGCTCAGTCTCTTTCTGCTGCTGCCCAAACAGGGAGGAGCAGATGACTGGAGACCTGTGAAATATCTTCCCCAGGCCACAGGAAGGATCCTGCTCCAGTCTGTACATGGATTGATGTGAGGCACACTGCTCTGAGGGAACTCTGAGACCTAGATAAAAGACTGTGAGGAACTAGGACATTTTTTTTTGTGTGTGAATGGCATGAGAAAAGAACTGCAGTGTTATTCCCTTCATGAATTGTGGTATTTTAAGAATACAAATTCTATTTCTTTCTATTTTAAGAACACAAATTTGGCATGAGTTTTGGATGTGAGGAAAAAACAGGAATTTTAGATAGGAGCTTACTTAGTAGAATCTGCTGAAAGCAGATGAAAACATGGTGGTCTTTTGGACTGATTCTGTATGGAACCAAATTTTAGTTCTTGTTCTCCCACTGACTTGTGCAGTGACCTTACACATTCTGCTGCCTCTATTTACTCACGTGTAGTATTTCTATAATGTCCTTTCCCTCTTACAGGTAATAGGAATGGTCAGTTACCAGCAGTGTGTAGGGGTTATTTATGAGGATAATCTAAGAAATTCCTTTTATTTTCTTCCGGCAGTTGTTCCGAGTACAGCCACGGTGGTGATTGTAGTTTGTGTCAGTTTCCTGGTTTTTATGATTATTCTGGGAGTGTTCCGAATCCGAGCCGCCCATCAGAGGACAATGCGTGACCAGGACACTGGGAAGGAGAATGAGATGGACTGGGATGACTCTGCGCTGACCATCACTGTGAACCCTATGGAGGTCAGGCTGATGTCTCGGCACTTCCAGCCAATTCCCCCCTTCAGCTTTGAGGGGGTCTCACTGTCAGCAAGGGAGCAGAGCAGGAACAGCCGCAGAATGAGGAGAGCAGACACTGACACTGGGTGTTAATGGATGCCCCAGAGTGACCAGTCCCAAGACGGGTTGTGCATAATCAGTCGAGAAACACCCGAATCTCATGTCAGGTTTAAGGGCTCAGTGCCTTACACTAGTGTTTAGCATACTGCATGGTACCTTAATGTAAGTAAGTTTTTCTTCCAAAGTCAGAAAAAAAGTATTTTTAACACTCTTTTATGATGTTGCCTTCCGCTATGATTGATATAAAAATCTTTAGAAAATCAGGAATTAGTAAGATATGAAACCTTAATGTTCTTTGTGTGTTCTCACTGGCAGACTCTTTTCCAATGTTCTTTGAAGTACTGGTGAACGCTTAAAGTTTTGTTTGTTTAGATCAACAGGATTCGTAGCAATGTTACAAAACCAAAGAACTGTTTTAAAGAGCCACTTTTTTTACTGTTTGCCTAATTAGTGCTGAACATCAAGAAACAGTATGGAATCTAATAACTTTTTCTCAATATAGTATCTTAGCTCCAAATTCAAAAGAAAATAGAGCAATTTAGGCAAGAATGATACCAACAGGTAATTTCTGTCTTAACAGACTTACGAGGATCAACACAGCAGTGAAGAGGAGGAGGAGGAAGAGGAGGAAGAAAGTGAAGAGGGAGAAGAAGATGATATCACCAGTGCAGAGTCTGAAAGCAGTGAGGAAGAGGAAGGAGAGCAGGAGGAGGACCAACAGAATGTCAATAGACAGCAACAGCTGGAATGGGATGACTCTACCCTCAGTTATTGATTCGAGCTGTTCCCTTTGTCTCTATGTTTCGGCTCTAGAAGACTCCACTGTAATCCACTCCATTGTCCCCAAGGATTCATGGTGTACAAAAAAAAAAAAAAAAGGAAAAAAAAAGTCATTCTGGCCAGTAGATTCAACCAACACACATCCCAGTGTTTGTGTTGTATTGGCTAGTTCCTGATGCTGTTCCTAGAATTGTAGTTAGCACCTCTTTTCCCTCAGCCATGCCTCAGTGACTGGATTTTTTTACGCTATGTGAGGAATCACCTTGCACTTTTTTCTTCATGTCATCTCAGCTAAGTGACTCTACAGATTTGTAGCCATTGCACATGAATTTCTGAACTGTCTTTTTTTGCTCAGTGAAACAACTTTGGCTTTGTTCATTTTACTCTTTCTGAAAGATGCAAAGATTGCTTGTTGACAAAGGGTAAAGTTACTCATTTCAGCCTGTTGATTTTTTTTATTATTATTTTTTCCCAAATTAGTGCATGTGCAAAGTGGCAGAATGAGGTTAATATGTAGAAGATTAACAGACTTTTTAATATTTTGTAAATATATTGGAATTATGTAATTATGTCATTTGTGGTAGTGAAAACAGGAATTGGGGTTTAAAACATGCTAAAGTAAAAAAAAAATCATGAAGCATGAAATAATACGAGTCTCATACTACTGCAGCAGGAGCACGGGCACAGTTACCTAGTGTAGATGTTTCAATAATAGTGTCTTTGGCCTTGACTGCCATGTTCACTCATGCCCTGCTCCGATTTTTTTTCCTTCCCCTCCTTTATTTTTGCAGAGGGAACAGAGAAGCTTGAGAAACTGTAAAGGCTTTTAGGAACCTCCGTGGAGGCTCAACTGCCCTGCCTAATACAGTTTGCTTTGACTTGGGGGTTTTATTTTTCAGTTAAATTTTAGTATAAGGACTTTTAAGTTATTGGGAGAAAAACACTACTTGGATGGCGGGCAGATGGGGCTGCTGTTGCTGTGGGGTGTTGCCACAGCTCCTGTTAGTGACAGGGGGCTGCCTGTAGCACAGGGATGGTCTGTTTGCGTGCTGGCAGGCGGTTGTTCAGCGGGTTGTAGCAGTGGTCACTGATGCTGAAGCCTGAGACCTGTGAACCTGCGCACCTTGGCCGCCAGTCTGCGTGGATAAGGGGTTTTATTTTATTGGCGTTTTGATTTTCTTTTTATTTGGGAGTGGGGATAGAGGGGGGCTAGGGACATAGCTTATATCATTCCTAATGACCACACTCCTGCTCATTCCTGGTAGCTCCTTGTACAGTAACTGGGACTGTTGGTGTATTAAGCCTTTGTTTACACTCACTTAGTAATTGTGTTTTCTTGCTGGTGAAACTACAGCACAAACTATCCAACCAGACCGTTGTGATTGTTGTTGCTATTCCAAGTGACAGCTGATTCTGGGTGTTTATGATCAGCTTTCTAACTTGGACTCGCAAAGGACTTTTTAAAAAAGAAATGGCAGAAAGGTACGAAAAGTAAGTTACGATCCCCCCGGTGAAGATTTTTCGTAAGGCAGGTCTTACTCATTTAACTTTATTTGGTTATGCAGAGCATTGTGAATATCTGATTACTTCTGTTTTTTTTTTACTATTTGGAGGTGGATTAAAGAGTAACTCCTTTTACGTGCGACAGGAACTAGGACTCGTTCGCTCCTCAGCACGGTAAGCCAAGTCCTAGTTGTTACGTGGTGCGTGGCCGCCCAGGTGCCCAGGACAGAGGTGCTCGTCGAGGAAATGCTGCGCTGGGTGAACCTGCCCGTGGAGCGGCGGGAGCAGAGGGTCACAATTCAGAGAGATAAAAGGGGAAATTGATCCGAGTGTTTCCAAAGTTTTCATTTGATTTTCGCAGCAGACCTATTCTTACCTAGTGCACATCTGGCTCCTGATGTGTGTAATGGGATTGAGTGGTGGGTTTTATCTGGGATAAAACTTGACTCTGTGGAGTGCCTTTTACTATAATAGATGGATCTGGAAGCAGGGGAGTAAACCCACACAACTAGCTTACTTTTTTTTTTTAATGTAAAATTTTAGATTTCTAAAATGGGGAAATGGTTTTGACTACTTCCGTGGTAATATAACTGCTAGTTTTAAGTAAACTGGGGAACTTTTAACTTATGTCTGACAGTTGTCCTGTGTTAATGTGTAGAAGATTATCCTTCCATATACTGTCACTGTAGCTGCTGTATTTTAGACAAAAACTGATCATGACTTAATGGTTATACTGAAAGGTTGTAAACGTCCTGATGCAGTTTGTAGCCACTGTGGGTATAACTTTTCAGATGTGTATATTGGTAACAGGTCAGTTTGGAAAGTCTATAAGCTACAATAAATTTCTGGTTCTAAAGGCTGTTTGCATTTATTTCTCATTGAGTGCAATAGAGTTGAACCGAGTTGCACCTACTGTGTGTTAGTTTTTCCCTGCTGGTGGCAGGGCTACTGCTGTGCCCTTTTTGGAAGGGGAGATTTGTTGACTGATTTAAAGCATAGAAAGACTCTGACAGCGTGTGTGTATAATTTATCAATCATTTTTATTTTTAGACTTACAAAACATGTACTTCAAGCAACTGAAACATGTAAACATTCTTTTCATACAGAACATGGCCTGACTTAAAAAAATACTTTTTTTTTTTCCCCAAAGGCAACAGAATAAGCACAATCGGTTTGTACAGAGTTTAAAAAAAATCACAAAAACATCTCTAAATAAATAGAAATAGTAAAAGGTATCACTTTGAGCATATTTATAACATCAGGGGGAGGGTAGTTATTTACAATAAAATTAATATTTTTGAAGTGATTTAAGTTGCAATCTTTGTTACAATTCAGCTTGTTAGAGACCATCAGATGAGATACCGCTTTGTAATTTTGGAGAGAAAGGATCTTTGCTGACCTGATAAAACCTTCGGACTTGTTTTCAAGATACAGCTGCTCTTCCAGGGGTTTACAAGGAGCAAGTTCACCCACTGATGTTCTTACTTTTTGGAGGTAAGTTAGCTTTCCAGAAATGAGTAACCCTTCTGCAATCCGTGCTGGATTGAGGAACACCTTTGGAATTGTTCAATTCTTGCAATTTAGGCTGATATGATTTTGTTTATTGCACTTTAAAAAAAAATAAGGACAGCTGACACGAGCCAGTGCTGCTTTGTGCGTCCATAAAACTAAACTGGGGCCGAGTTCCTGGAAACGCTGTCCCAGCAGCGGCCGAAGGTCCGAATGGCCGTGAGGCTGCAGAGCAGGAGCTGGCAGTGGCTGAGGAGACCATCGGGTACGAGGGCCTTGCTGCAGCACAGAGACAGCACCCTGGATTTCTTTGTTTGTGGTAAGAGAACTGCATTTGTGTTTACAGAGCTGTGGTGTGTGTCTTCCTTCTCATGAGGATGCACAAACCACTGATTAGATTGTGGTGCTTTGAGTTTCAGTGCAACTTGCATGTGGCCTGACAGTTTTTGAATACTTTTCTGCTCCATGAATCAGTTGAATAAGGGCGGAAATAGCAATATTTATCATTCTGTACAATAGAGCAAAGTTGTGCAGCCATCAGCAGCTCTGCAAGCAAAGTCAGGGCTGCCAACCCGAAAGGAGGAGGGCGAGGAGGCTCCGAGCGTCTCCCTGCTGTGGTTATTCCAATGGGGGCAGTCCTGTTTTCTCATTCCCTGATTAGTGGGCAGAGGGATCTAAGCTGCTGCATTCATGACACTCCTTTGACACCAGCTCTGAGACAGTTTTGGGCTTCTCTCCATTTTTGTCTCTCCTATTGAGAGTCCGAGCGGGATCCCTGCCCCGCACGCCGGGAGGTGGGTCGGCTCCCAGGGCACCGCCTGCCCCCTGCTCGCGCCCTGTGTCTCCGGAAAGGCCCAGAAAGGGCTCTCGTAAGGTGAGAATGAGTTTACTTTTGGATAACTGCTTTTTCCAGGATCAAGTGCTCTACAAGAGGCAACCTGGTTTACACTTACATACAGAACTGTAGGTTGTATCAGCGTTAGTTTTAGAAAGAAATGCCAAATTGGACTCTTCTCTCTCTCTTTCAAAAAAAAAAAAAAGGCGGGGGGGAGGCGGAAGGGGAAGTATATTGGGCAGTTGTTCCCCCCGCTCCAAATATAGGGTTATTTAAAGTATTAAAAAGACCTGAAAGTCAGGAATGACTTGCACTTTAGTGCTGAATGCAAAAATACTATCAAACATTTCCCATGACACGGATGAGCCCTACATTTAGTGAACAATTCAGTTTGTGTCCTAAACCTGCATTTTTTTGGTAGGATTTTTTTGTAGGAATTTTTTGTTTTTGTTTTCTTGAAAAAAAATGGGTATGAAAGCTAAAGTTACTCATGCTGGAGCAGTCCATCATTCGATCCCGCATACATCTCGCCAGCTCAGGACCAGTGTATGGAATGCCAGTATTGCCTTTTCCTGTGAGTGGAAAAAGAGAGCTGCTCTACCTAGCTAAGGACGTAGAAGTCAAAGGTGCGATTTAGCTTAGGGAGGCCTTGCAAAAAGGTCTGAAAGTGAAAACTCAGACTGTGCCGTTCCGGAGCAGGCAGGAAGGGCAGCGCCTCCGTACGGATGAACCGCTGAGGGCAGCGGGCGGCAGCGGCGGCTCCTGCCCGCCCGGCCCCGCAGCGCCCACGTGGGGACAGCGGCTGGAGAGGAGAACGTGACCCGGAGCAGAAATACGTGAGTAACCGCAGCACGGTGGGGTGGGGAGGGCGAGGGGAGAGACGCTGCCGGGGGAAGGTAAAAAAAAGAAGCGAAATAAATGTAGGAACCCAGGAGCTGCTTGAAGCTGAAATAAAGCCTGGCTTAGGAAAGGAGGCAAAAATATCTAATCCACTGGTCACCCAGAACCTGTTCTGCTGGCATCAGTTTTTGACAGCAATAGATTAATTCCAGTTCAGTTTAAAAACACTTTGGCCTCTCTAGCGGAGTGGCAAGATGGGCATTTTTACCCTGTCACACCTCAGAATAAACCATTTTGTCCAAGTCTGTTTTAGTGGCAGTGTCGCTGCGCGCTGGAACAGGGCAGGAGCCGCGATCCCATGGCGAGGTCCTGCCTCGGAGCCGCGCGGGGCGTCCCTCGAGCAAGGGCTTCTGTACAAGAGCTACAGATGGAACATTCTAGCACATGCTCAGCGTTCAGCTCCATTTTCAAGAAAACAGACACTTTAATACACTCACCCATTTTAAAGGATATCTCAACCATCTGAATTCTTCCACTAAAGGATGTATTTGAAGTTTGACAAGTTCTTAATACAGTACATCTACCTACCTACCTTTGTATGCAGTAATTTTATTGCCTTATGTCTCCCCCTTTGTCCCCAAAGATCTAGCTGAGACATGACTGTGCAGCTGATGACAGTCCAACAGTTCAGTCACGCAGAAATGTCTGATCTTTAGGTGTGTGTGTGAGGGATCTCCAACACGACAACATTCCTCCATCTGTAGAAACCTGTCTACAGTCGCTGGGCTCAGTGCAAGTGGGATTACATTCTCCTGGAGCAGGTCACAGGCTGACTCGGTTGCTCTACTGCCTGTTATCTTTGGATACGTTGTGTGCCAGCCAGTTCACTTTGGTTTTCCAGCTCTCTCGAAGGGCCTCATTAAATTTTAGTCTGAAATGTTTCAGTGCCTCCTCATCTGTTTTTGCTAGAGCTAGGGAATCCTGAAGGAGAGAGGCAGAGATCAGTGCAGACTCAAAACAATCATTAAAATATTTACTTGCTAAAAAGTTACTCTATGAAAGGACACGCTAGGTGGAAAACAAATAGGCACGAATTATTTTAAACAATTAACTGTAGTCACACGATTTTCTTATTCAGATAAACACATCCTATCCTAAAGCTGGGAGCATAGAGAGGAGGACAGGGCTAAGCTCTAATAATTTAAGAGACAATCTGGGAACAGGCAGTGATGCTTCAGAGAGGCTCTGTCTCCTAACCCTCAAGCTGGTTCGATGCTCAAGAATCCACTGAAGTTATTCCTGAGCACCAGTCAGGTGGCTCTGGCATTTCTGGCATCCTGCATGTGGGTGCTGGCCATCTGCTCCCAGTTTTTGCAGTTCAGTGGCTTTAAACACGGCCTTCCCCTGAGTTAGAAGAACAGGTATTAAGTTTTAACCCTATCCACGCTCTGCTTCTCTTACCTTTAGATACTGAATGTCTTTAGAGCAGCTGAGTTCTGGCAGGCCGGCAGCTTTCATCAGTGCAAACAAGTGCAGGAAGAGAAGACCGTGACGCCGCAGAATCATGTAGGCTTTTTCACAGTAGCCCCTGAATCTGTTCAGAAAGGAAGGTGAGAAAAGCAACAGAGACTGCGAGCTGCACTGTTCTGTACAGTGAGACCAGGTGTCACTGAGCTACCTGTGCTGGTGACATCTAACAGGTAAATAATCATTACTTGTTCTTGGTACAACAAGCATTACTTGACTTGGTACCACGAGCAGGAATACCGTGTGCTGGACGTTTCCTACCTCAGTAATTCCCTGTTCTCTCTTTTCTACTGCCTTCTGTACACCAGAATTGTTGCTTTTTTCTGCGGGCAGCTATAGGCTATGTGTCACCTCATGGAATTCACTACTGAAAACTCAGAGCTTGAAAAGCTTAGTCAAATCTACCTGCTAACACTTACCTTTCAAATTTCTCGTTGTTGTTAGTTTTCCCTTGCTGGATGACATGCACAAAGTCATAGGTTAAGATGAAAGGAACTCGTTCTCTATTAATACCAAATTTGGTCTTGAAGTTCCCCAAAAAGTGACCAAAATCAATATGGAAGAGCTGGAAATAAGCAAGAAACAACAGAAAAGTTAGCAGAAAAGTACCACTTGTAGTGAATCAGAGTTGTTTTTTCTTCAGAATCACTGCCTTCAATAAAACACTAATCATGGGCTTTTGAGAGGGAGAAAATTATCTTTCCTATGTCCCCCTTTGGGGAAAGAGACAATATTTACTTACTAAGATACTGATAGTCCTCTGTAGCATAATTTGAGTGTTAGCTGGGACGGGAAAGGTGCTTACCTCATCAGTGCTTGGTATATCTGAAGAAAATTTTATGTTTCTTTCCTAAAGCCTTAGGGTACCACTAATAGAAGCAGAAAGAACTAAAATGGGCTGCTGTCCTACTCTACCAGGGCAGTTTGCAGTCCCAGACTGTGGAAACAAGACGTCCTGTTTTGAAGGTGTTATAAAACATTATTTGCTCAGGTATTTGCTTTCTTTTTTGCTGGCAGACAGTGAAGCCATCTCATTGCTACTGCAGAGCTAGATGGAGATTCATGTCTGGCTGTTATCATCGCGGCACACGACAATTATCAGAGCTGCTCAAAACCTCAAGTATGAACAAAACCAGGGCCAGATACTGCAGGACATCAGCTCCCCCACGTGGACAACAACTGAGAGGCCCCTGCTCAGCAGGGGCAGCCTCGCTGCCTCCCGCTTCATTTCTCTCCTGAGACCAGGATGGGCCCCAGGTAGGTGCTGCTGCTCCACACACTGAGCACATTTCTGCGACTCCAAACACAGGTCTGAGGGTGTAAGATGTCCGGGAAGGGGGTGCCGCACGGGAACAGTGTGGACAGGGGCCAGAAGCTGAGAGGATTCTCAAAACACAGGCAGCCAGTTTCTAATTTACAAATATGAACTGGCTGACCTAGAGACCACTGAACTTTGCAGAGCCTTCCCTCGCGCAACCTGGCACTGGCTTGGAGAACTCGCAGCAAGAGCTGTACCTTACCTCTCCTCCGTGACCAAGTTATTTCTGATTATAGCTGAGTAGCACATGTCCTGTTAACAAGGGGATTTCTCTTTTCCTGCTTTTGCCCTGTCTTTCACACATTAAGAGGTGATACAAATGCTAACAGCTGATCTTGTGGAAGAGTAAGGGACTCGATACAGGTATCAACGTGAGATTAAAACCATGCTGATCATTTGCAGTCATTTCAAAAAAAAAAAAATCCTAGGAGGAAGACTGTGAGAATTTCATGCTGGGTAATTACTTGAGGATCTTGACTAGCAACTAAATGCAATTTGTAATTCTGCTAAAAATGAGTCTTTATACTAGTAAATGCAGAGCATGAGTTTGCATCTGCTTAAGTTTACAGACAGTTTTAGGGTTGAGAGGTGTTATTTGCTCCATGAAAATGTGTAATTTATCTATAATATTAACAGCAGCCTCTCAGAGGTTAACTGGCAGCCGGAGGCGGTGGAATTCTAATCACAAAACTTAACACACCCTCTCACTGGCAAAAGCTGAGTGTTGAGAATATTTGTCTGTGTGTCTCTTGGCTGGAAGGTAAGAGGAGGCCTGTCCAGGGACGGCTCTGCTCGTTGCTGAGCAGTGTTCATGCCCACGTCCAACTCTCGAAGGGCAGCAGTGACTCCCCATACCTGGCCAGTCTCACGGATCATGATGTTATCGCTGTGCCGGTCCCCAATGCCCAGCACGTATGTTGCCACGCAGTACCCAGCACAGGAAAGGGTGAACTCCTCTATAGCTTGGTCTAGTGCTTCTCTAAAGAGGACAAGAAAAAGAGATTGAGAGGAAATTTTACTTTGAGCTCCAATACTTCATTGCTGGAGAGATTGCTGGATAGTTTGGAAATACGGATAACAAGGGGGAAATTAAGCAAGCAGAGGAAATGTCTCAGCTGGAAAGAAGCTGAGGAAAAGATAAGCCCACCTACCCCGGGTTCTTAGATTTTAGCCAGTTCAGCAGCGCGTCCTTGTTGAATGCAGCAGTGGCCACCATGTTGCTCTTGTTCAGCTGGATGTTGGCAATGGTATCTGAGTGCATGACTACTTCTATCAATCCAGTCTTGTCGCCTGTGGAGAGGCAGCCATAAGGGGTCATCCTGCAGAGATGAAAGAAAGCCTTGCGCGGAAATATTGCCCAGAGTTGGGTTGTCTTTTGACTCTTAAGATTTCCTGTGTCTTCCATATCAAGGGCAAATTGCTAGGGAAAAGCATGGGAGGCCTTTGTGCCTGCTTCACATTTGGACTTGAAGAAAATACTGCAGTGTTCTGTGTGTGCTCAGCCAGCAGAAGGATCCATATTGCTGAAGGGCCAGGTGCTTTCAGCTCCCGGTGCTTCAAAAGCGCTTCGGAAGCTTGTGCTTGGGGCAGCGGACAGGGGACAGGGGATAGAATAACCCAGCCTGCAGGCAGAATGGCCCCACCACACAATCCAATGCTGCGGCGAGGCAGCTGCAGGCTCACCTCAGGTAGAAGCTTGTGCTTGGGGCAGCACACAGGGGACAGGGGACAGAATAACCCAGCCTGCAGCAGAACGGCCCCACCACACAATCCAATGCTGCAGCGAGGCAGCTGCAGGCTCACCTCAGGTCCAGGCCCTCCTGCTTCCATAGGATGTCCATGAGCTGTATCATCTGCAGCGTCAGCATGTCCTGACGGAGATCTGTGCAGCATGGCAGAGGAAGAGGAAGCTGTAAGTGCCTCCTGCTCTCCCCTC